TCACCTCTTTTTTTTCGAATTATTTTCAATTTCATCCCTAATTCATTTTTTCTCAAAAATTTAACAAAATTAAATTAAAACGAAATTTAATTATTTATGTATATATTTTATAAATTAAAAAAAAATTATCTTGAGCCAAATTTTTGGCCTGAGTTTTACAACTCTCCCCCCTTTAAGAAGAAATTTGGTCTCTCAAATTTGTCACCCTCCCACTAGTCAAATAGCTGGGGTACTGGGCTCTAAAGTCCAATTCTAGCTCCCAAGTGGTCTCTTCCTTTGCATGATTCTGCCATAGGACCTTGATGAAGGAGATTTCTCTGTTGCGAAGTACTCTGCGCTTTTGGTCCATAATATCTACCAATACCTCCTCATAAGATAGATTCTCCTGGAGTGAAAGTGGCTCGTGAGATAGGATATGCGAGGGGTCTAGGTTGTACTTGCGTAGCATACACACATGAAACACGTTGTGGACCTTGGATAGCTCTAGAGGTAGTGCTAATATGTAGGCTGACGTACCAATCATGTCCAAGATTTCAAGCGGTCCAATAAATCAGAGATTTACTTTTCCCATCTTACCAAACTTGTTGATCCCCTTGAAAGCGGTGACCTTAAGAAATACCTGATCGTCTTTCTCAAGTTCTAAATCTCTCATCCAAGTGTCCACATAACTCTTTTATATACTCTGAATTATTTGGATGTTCTTCCTGATTTTAACCATCTTGGTTGTGGTCTCTTCTACAAGATCTGGGTTAAATAATTTTTTATCACCCACTTCTTCCCAACAAATTGGCAACCTACAAGATCGATCATACAATGCCTCATACGGGGCTATACGTATACTTGCTTGATAGCTATTATTGTAAGCGAACTCTATCAAGGGCAGGTGATCATCCCAATGGCCTCCGAAGTCTAGAATACAAGCTCAGAGCATATTCTCTAGTGTGCGAAGTGTACGTTCTGATTGTCCATCAGTTTGATGGTAGAATATGGTGTTGACGGATAGTTTTGTTCCAATTACTTGCTGAAAGCTGGATCAAAATCAAGAAGTGAACCTGGGGTCTCTGTCGGATACCACTATCACTGGAACTCTATATAGCCTGATTATCACCAGAATATAAATTTTTGCTAGCTTGTCTAAAAAGTCGGTAATTTTGATAGCCATGAAGTGAGAGGACTGGGTGAGCTAGTCAACAATTACCCAGATAACATCATGTCCCGAGTGCGCCTTAGACAACCCTGTTACAAAACCTATGGTGATATGTTTCTATTTCTACTCTGGGATTAGTAATGACTAAAGTAGCCCACCTGGACGTTAATGTTCCGTTTTAACCTTTTGACATACAAGACATTTGGAGATGAAATTGGCAATTTCTCTTTTCATCCCACTCCACCAAAAATGCAGTCGCATACTTTAGTACATCTTAGTACTTTCGGGATGTATGACAAACTTTGAGCTATGAGCCTCTGTCATGGTGTTCATTTTTAGCTCACTGTCATCTATAACACATACCCTATCCTGGAACCTGAGCAACCCATCGATAAAGACTCAGAATTTTGGATTAACTCCCTGTTTTATATCCTTCCTGAGAGTTGCTAAAGTGGAATTGGTCAATTGGACTTCCTTTATTCTTTAAATTAGTTTGAGTTGGATAGTTAAATAGATCAGACATGTAACTCTCTTCAAGTTCTGAAGCTGTATTTGTTGTGCAACCCCTATTATCCTGCATTCAAAAACCGTTAAGTGAGCTAACATACCTGTACTTTTTCTACTGAACGCGTCCACTACCACATTGTCTTTACCCAGATGATGCAAAATCTTATAATCATAGTCATTAAGGAGCTCTATCCAACGTCTCTGACACATGTTGAGATCATTTTGAGTGAATATATGCTTCAAGCTCTTATAGTCTGTATAAATATAAAAAATCTCCCCATATAAGTAGTGACGTAAAGTATTCAGGGCGTAGATAATAGCAACAAATTTCAAGTCGTGAGTAGAGTAATTCTTTTCATGACTTTTCAATTATCTGGTCCCATAGATTATAACTTTCTCATGCTGCATCAGAACACAACCCAATCCTAGGTATGAGGCTTCATTATACACTGTGTATCTACCTGTCTTATTTGGTAGAGTCAACACGGGCACGGTAGTCAACCGCTTCTTGAGTTCTGTAAAGCTCTTTTCGCAATTCTTGTTCCACCCAAACTTGATGTTCTTTTTTATAAATCGGGTTAATGGAGCAGCTAGGGTAGAAACCCTTCCACAAAACTGTAGTAATTTCCTGTCGTTCATAGAAAGCTACAGATCTCCTTAACCAAAGTTAATTTTTTCTAACCAGTACTGCCTCAATGTTTTCGGGATTCACTGACACCCCATCCTTATATAGTATGTGCTCTAGAAAAGTAGTTTGCTCAAGACAGAACCCACACTTGCTCAATTTTACATACAACTTCTTTTCCCTGAAAACTTGTAAAACATAAGTCAGGTGATGAACGTGTTCCTATCTGCTCTTTAAATAGACTAGGATATCATCAATAAATACAATAACGAACTGATCCAGGAATTACCTAAAAACCTTATTCATTACGTTCATAAAAATGACTAACGCATTGGTTAGCCCAAATAGCATGACCAGGAACTCATAATGTCCGTACCTAGTTCTGAAGGTTATCTTGGGAATGTCCTCTGCTTTGATCTTTACCAGATGGTAAGCTAAACGCAAGTCTATCTTGGAAAAAACCTAGGCAGCTAGTAACTAATCGAAAAAATCATCAATCTTGGGGAAGAGATATTTGTTCTTGATTATGACTCTGTTCAATCTCCTATAATCAATACATAACCTCAGGGACTTCAGCACCACAAAGAGATATATTATATCAGATGAACCTACTATTGTAATAACTAAATTTATGTGTACATATTGGGAAAAGAAAAAAAAACATGAATAAATAATGAGAAAGGATGAGCATTCAGCAAATTATGTTTTATACATGTAAAAAAATATGTAATAACGATAATGATAATAAGAGTACAATGATGGATAAAAAGGAAATGATGGACTGAGTTTTAATAAGAGAGCCCAATTGCCATAGAAAAAATAAAGGAAGGTTACAATAATGAATTAGCTCATGCGAGGCAGATGTTTAGGGAGATTGCAGGGAGTCTGT